AAAGGCTATATTCGGGGGGGTGGGATGGAGTTCCCGTATAAAAAAAAAAATATTTAGATAATTATCAATTTTCATTCTAAAAAAAAAAAAAAGCATACATATATTTACACCAAACATTTTTTTTTGTTATTAATAATATAAATTTATTTATGCGTACATAAATAAACGTTATTTATAATAATAATAATAATAATAATAATAATAATAATAATAATAATAATTAGTCAAAAAAAATTTATTTTAATGTTACAAAAAAAAATTTTAATAAAAAACATCCGCGTGGAATTTTAATTTAATGAAGGAAATAACATAACAATAGTTTTGTTGTTGTTGTTGTTTGTCGTTTGTCGTAAAAACATTATTAAAAATAAATTTAATAGATTGTTATAAAAGAAATGTTATAAAAGAAAAACAAAAATAAAAAAATTTGTAAAATTTAAAAGAAATGACAAAAAAAAAAGGAAAGGGGAAATAAATCATTATTATAAAAATAAATAATTAACAACATTTTTACTTACCTTAATAATAATATTAAATAAATAAATGTTTTATAAATTTATATAAATAAATAAATAAAAAATTATTTTTGAACGAGAAAATAAAAAAAAATAAAAAAATACATAAACTAACGACGTAAAAATTCAATTTAAAAAAATACGCGTAACTCGATTGAAAAAAAAAATTTTTTTTCTTTATTTAAAAAAAAAAACAAGAAATCATCCTCGGATGATGTCTGAACATTGACTGAGAATTTCTTGTGTTAAAAATACTGGAGGCTCCATTACCATCGTCTTAAGTTGACAGGATATATATACAAGAGCAACAACAACAACAACAACAAACAACAACAACATCCAGTGTCATTACACCATTAACAGTAGAGTTTGCAACTTTTTTTTTCCCCCCCATTCTTCTTTCTTTTCTTTTTTACTTTTTTGTTTAATGAAAAAAATTTTCTTTTATTTAAATAATTTTAAACTTTTACTTTTAAAATTCGTTTTAATAAACAAATAATTTATTTATTTTTTTATACAAACAATAAATAAATGAAAAAAAAATTTTAAATAGTCGTATACCTTGTTTAGGAAAAAAAATAATTTTTTTTTTTATAGTCTATAAAAATATTTATTTGAATATTAAAAAAATTGAATCGTCGTCCATTGTTTAAATTATATTTAAAACCGTTAAAAAAAAAAAAAAATTATAGCAAATATTTTTTGCATAATCGAAAAGAACATAAATCTTACGTAATACAATAATAAAATTTATTGCTTTGAGTTTATTGCTTAACATAAAATATTACAAACGATATTAAACGCAAATATATGTGAGACTTGGGAAAACGTACGAGACATAAGTCATTATTGATAAAAAAAAAATAATTTCAGGTACGACGAATAAAATCTATTTTTTTTAATGGGGGAAGGGGGTTATTCGATTAAATTTTCTTTTTTTTTTCAGTATTCATTTACATGTGTGAAATCGATTGCAATAAGTTATTATTGATTTTATTATTATTATTTTATTTTTTCTTTTTATACAACTTTCTCCGTCCTTGTATTGATTCAATGTCCAGTTCAAGTTTAAGGTGAGAGAGAGAGAGAGAGAGAGAATCTAATAACTCTTGCTAACATTGTATAGAATGACCTTGAAAATCTCTCCATACGTATAACATATATATTTTATAAACTTGTTTTTTTTGTTGTTGTAAAATACATTAAACGAAAATTATTATTATTATTTTTTTTGCATTAAAAATAAAATTTTAAAAGTGATTTTAAAACGAGGATCAAGTTCAGAGGTTAATGAAATTTATTTATTTATTATTCACCCCCCTCCTCCCCCCGATTTGTGAATTTAAACAAAAAAAAAATTTTTCTCCATGTGTATTTTTACGTTTGAAAAATTATTAATTTTACTCGATGACTCGTTTTTTTCTCTTTTTTTTTTTTCTCTCCCTTGAAATCTTCATGGAATGATTTGTTTTTAAAATTATTATTATTATTATTACTAAAAAAACTTTTACTTTTATAAAAACCTCTTTTTTTTCATAAATTTTTTTATTAATAATAATAATAATATAAGTAAAGCCAAAAACTACTAAAAATTTTCTCTTTCGATATGATTTAATAATTTTTATTTTATTTTTAATTATTATACATTTAAAAATATATATAAATTACATAACATAATTAATGATTAAATAAATAAATAAATAAAACAATAAGTTTAATATACGTTTACAAGCAGAAGAAAACTCACGACGGTTAAATAGGAAAAGGAAATAAAAAATAATATTTATGTCACATTTAAAACATTTAAAATTAATTTTTTAATAATTTTTTTAAACAAATGATGAGTATAATAAATTATAGTTTAAAAATGTGTAGATTTAAATAGTAGAAAAGGTAAAAAAAAAGATTGATACGAATGGGCGTGAAAAGTGAAAAGTGAGAAAAAAAACGCCATTTTTTTTTATTTAACCGTTGAATAAATTAGAGAATTAAATTTGTTGAAAACCGTTTTTTTACACTTTATTATTTTTTTTTTTTTAAAGGTGTTACCAATTAAATTTTTTTCTTTTTTAATAAGTTACGACGACGACGATGGATACATAACGTAAATAGAAACATAATTAATAAATAACATAAATTTTTTTTTTAATAATTAAATCGTTAAGTTTTCGGTATAGGATTTTTTAATTTTAAATTTAATTATTATTATTATTAATTATATATAAATTAATTTTTAATCTGTCTGTTGCG